AGCACAAAAACAAGACAGAGCAAAAGAGAACAGAAAACCAAAACAACAACAGCAACAGACCCAAGGCGATTGATGCAACCAGCCACTGTGTCAATCCATCCCATTGAGGGCCTTTCTCTTTTTCACTGCCCTCCCATTTTATCAAACGTGATGTCCTTCTCCATGGTAATTGGGAGTGAGTGAATGATCAGTTGAGAAGTTAATGTTTTATCCCTATTTTTCATATTTTAAAACACACGTACATATCTTAAACATAAGAGGGCATCTGCTGATGAGTCGGGGTCTGTCAGGATTTACTACATTCCTTGTTTATCTGGCAGACAGAATATTGGGAGGGGTTAGGGGACGTCATCATCATCGAGGTGGGTCAAGGTCTGTCAAGAAGTCGGGAGGGACTTATCTGGCAAGAGTATTTGTGGATGAGTCAGAGTCTAGCAGGTTATTGGGAGGGGCTAGAGATAGCAAGGTTGAGGTCCTACAAGATGGAAATTTTAACAAAATCGAGTTCTTCCAACTAAGCTGGGTTACTGAAATGTGGAGGAGGCATGAGAAAGAGATTAGGGGTAGGAGAGATAAAGGAAAAAAAGTACAAAGCAGTTGCTTTATTGAACCATGGAGATAGAAGCTTTGGAGTTGTGGCTGCCCAACAGTGGGTGTTTAAGGAAGAAATTCCTGAAAGTGGGGGACCACAGAGAAGTGAGTCAAAATTGATGACATCTGTCAAGGGATTTTTAAATTCTTAAACTCTCCATTCTTAAAGAAGAAATCTAGTAGGATGCAGAAGCTAAGATTCTACAGATATAAGCAGACATCCCAGGGGTCAGAGCGTGCAAGGAGTGTGCCAGAACAGGGACCAGGACACACTGAGCAGGAAGGGATCAAGTGAACAGTGCAGTTTTGCTGTTGGGATCTCAGGAAGGCCATTTTCCTGAAGTAAGGACAATATTTTAGGATTAGGATAAAAACTGACATAGACCATCTTAAAACCCATAAAAATACTTTAAATGAGATTACGTCTTTCCACCGCTATTCTATGTCCTTGCTAGAAGAAAGCCTTATCTTCATTGGGTTACTATCCCCAATGTCCGCAGAATTTTGAAAACACAGCATCTTGCATTCCAAAAAATAAAATAAAATTGAGGCATGTTCAGAAACAGGACTGAATGACGAAAAACCAAGAGAAGAAATACACAGCTGAAACAATCTTACAGATGATTAAGGTTTTGAATCAAGACTAGAATGAACAATTATAACAATGACACCATTAAAAAAATCTGAGATGTAGGTTAAATATGAGTTTAATGTTGCTTAAAGGTCTTTTTGATTAGTGTGTTAGACCAGATCAACTAGAGAAACAAATTTAGCCACACTAATATGTATATGAAAGAGTTTAATATCAAGAAGTTTTATGCATCAGGAAAACATCCCAGCCTAGTCCTACTCAAATCTGTAAGTCTGATACTAGTTCATAAATCCCTCTTCAGACTCACACAGCCACATACAATGATTCAGAATGCAGGAAACTCAGGCTGGTGGGTGCAAAGTTGTATGGATCTGACAGGTCTCAGAGTGGCTCACCAGCAGGAAGGTGAAGGCTGAGAGAGAGAAGGAGGTTCCCAGGATCCTCCTTATGAGAAGGTCACACCCACAGGTTGTCATCATCATTAGCCTGCTTAACAGGCTAAATTCCACCCCTACACTTTTAAAGATCTTCATGTTAACATGAAATTCTGTAGCTACCACAATTAGCATCTATTTTAATATTCCCAGAATTTTCTGTAAGGCCCTTTTCATATCTTTATTTCTAAGGCTGTATATCACAGGGTTAAGGAGTGGGGTTATTACAGAATAAAACAGAGTCACAATCTTCTGCATTCCAGCTTCATGCTCAGACGTAGGACTCCCATACATGACAAGTACTGAGCCATAGAACAGCGAAACAACAGCCAGATGAGACCCACAGGTAGAAAAGGCTTTTCTTCGTCCAGCTGCTGAAGGGACCCTTAAAACGGCTTGTAGGACTAGGGTGTAGGACCCCATGATGAAGACAAAGGGAATAATGAGGGGCAGAGGACTCAAGGTGGAGAAGAGAAGCTCTAGCACAGGAGCTTTTTTGCAAGTGAGGGCTAGCAGGGGGGCGGGGTCACATAGGAAGTGGTCAATAATCCGAGATCCGCAGAAGGACATCTGGGAGATGATGCTGATAGGAATCAGGAACCAGAGAAAACCAAGCACCCAGCAGGTGACTACAAGATTGGTGTAGAGACGTCCAGTCATAATGGTTGGATAGTGTAGAGGCCGGCAGATGGCAAGATATCGATCAAATGCCATAACTGCCAAGAAAAAGCATTCTGTAGAACCCAGGGAGAAGAAAAAGTAGAACTGGAGAAAGCACCCAGAGAAGGAGATGACCTTGGTCTCAGAGAGGAAGTTGGCCAACATGTTGGGGACAGTGGAGTTGACATACCAGATTTCCAGGAAGGAGAAGTTGGCGAGTAGGATGTACATGGGCGTGTGGAGTCTCTGATCCCAGCGCACAGCACATACGATAGAACCATTCCCCAGGAGGGTCAGACAGTAGACAATAAGGAAGAGCACAAAGAGGAGAATCTGACCCTCCCTGGTGCAAGGAAAGCCGATGAGGATGAAGCCAGGGATGCTGTTGGAGTTGTTGGGGGTGTTGAAGATGTTCATGTGTCTGTGTGCTGTAAAAGACCAACCAAAACAGAATCACAGTGTAAAGACAGATGGCGACCAGATACATATTAAACCACATTGAGAAAGAAAACAGAGACTCCTGCTGCTCTTTCTCGTGAATAATGAACTATTTTCCCTGCACAGTCTTTCTGTATGCACACACAATCTGGCTGTGCATGTGTACACACATATAACCCTGAAAATGTGAATTTTGCCTGAACCCCAAGATGCTGGGACACAGAGATAGTGAAAGAATTATCTTTGACTTTTGTCTTCAGAAAAATGGTCTACTGTAAATAACAATGGCAGAGAAGAATCATGGATGCTCATCCCATCTCCCCTGACCTTCATGATCTCATTGAGGGATGTGCAGATTTGGACTGTGCTCATTAAAGCCTGCATTTCAGTAGAGCACAGCCCCCAACTCCTGTAATCACCTCTATCAGAAATGGGGATTTTTGGCCTCTGGTGGCTGCAGTTGAGAGAGGACTCAAGGACACTCTCCAGCCTTCTCCTTTCATCATCCTGCTTCAAAACAAGCAGTTAAAATAATCAATTGTCTCAGTGACACTGGGTTGTTCACTAAGTTGTTCCCTGTCAAGAAACTCTTAAAAGCCATGATGGATGTAACAATGCCCCAACCTCAGATATATGTCAAAAAACCTCTGGCCATTATCAAACCAGATATTGTTGGTAAAGAGGAGGAGATATAAGATATTATTCTCAGCTCTGGATTCACCATTGTGCAGAGAAGAAAACTACATCTCAGCCCTGAACACTGTATTAATTTTTACGTGGAACATTATGGGAAAATGTTTTCTCCAAATTTAACAGCTTACGTGAGTTCTGGACCACTTGTTGCCATGATATTAGCTAGACATAAAGCCATCTCCTGGTAGAAAGAGCTTATGGGACCAAGTAATAGCTCAGTCCCTAAGGAAACACATCGAGGCAGCTTAAGAGCAATTTATGGCACAGATGATCCAAGAAATGCACTTCATGGGAGTAATGACTTTGCTGCAGCAGAAAGAGAACATTGATTCCTTTTTCCTGAAGACCTGGCTAGCTGATTGGCTGCTAAAAAATAACCTTAATGAACCTCAATGTTTTCAGTGGCCAGCTTCAGAAGAGCCTTATTAAAACAAAGTTCTATAAAGGACAAATCTCAAATGATATTATTATAAAAATGATGTACTTCTTATGTAAATATATTTACATATGAAGATGTGGAAATAGATCTATGTACAGTTCTGTATAGACTTAGTATTAAGGTAGCAGGTGGACATTGGGCCTCCACCCAAGTACTCCCTCAATGCAGGAATGTTTTGTTCTATTAAATTGGCATTCCATTATGCTCACCTTCCTGACATAATCGCTGAAGACAAAGCGGGTGCATAAACAAATGTGGTGAAGAGAGCTGATGGTGCCCGGCTATCAAAAGATATAGCGTCTGGGGTCCTAAAGGCTTGAAGGTAAACAAGCGGCCATTTAGCTCAGAAGCAACAAAGCCCACCAGCCTGTGTGATAACGAGGTGCAGAAAGGATCAGTTACTAGGCATCAAAGAACAAAAAATCATATCATTGTGTGCTCACCTCCCTGATATGATCGCTGAAGACAAATGGGTGCACAAGATCACTGAAGACAAATGTGACAAAGAAAGCTGATGGTGCCCTGCTATCAACAGATATAGCATCTTGGGTCTTAAAGGCTTGAAGATAGACACGCAGCCATCTAGCTCAGAAGCAACAAAGCCCACATGGAAGAAGCACACCAGCCTGTGTGATCACGAGGTGTCGAAGGGATCAGTTATCAGGCATCATCAGAACAAAAAAAATCATATCATTGTGAATGAGGGGGAGTGCAGAGCGGAGACCCAAAGCCCATCTTTAGGCAATTGGACATCCCCTTACGGAAGGGTCTTGGGGAGGAGACGAGCCAGTCAGGGTGCGATGTAGCAACGATGAAACATACAACTTTCCTCTAGTTCCTAAATGGTTCCCCCCCATCATGATCCCAATTCTACCTTACAAATCTGCCAAACCAGAGGATGTACACTGGTACAGATAGGAACTAGAAACACAGGGAATACAGGGCAGATGATCCCTTCAGGACCAGTGATGAGAGTGGCGATACCGGGAGGGTAGGGTTGGAAAGGGGGAACCGATTACAAGGATCTACATATAACCTCCTCCCTGGGGGACGGACAACAGAAAAGTGGGTGAACGGCGACTTTGGACAATGCAAGATATGACAATAACTTATAAATTATCTAGGATTCATGAGGGAGGGGGAAAATGAGGAGCTGATTCCAGGGGCTTAAGTGGAAAGCAAATGTTCTGAGAATGATGAGGGCAATGAATGCACAAATCTGCGTTACACAACTGTTGTATGTATGGATTATGCTAAGAGTTGTATGACCCCCTAATAAAATGATTGGGGGAAAATGATGTACTTCTAAAAAAAAAAAGAGAGAGAAAGGGGGATTTTTTTCCCCTTAAATATTTTAGGCTTGTCCCAGCAACTCGGTTCCATTGCTGTTGTGTAATAAGTAGCCAAACATAATACCTAAATGAACGAACACAATTGCATTCTGATATATCTTTATGTGCACTAAAATTTGAATTTCATATAATTTACATCACAGTGTCAAATGTTTTCAGAAAGTTTGTTCTCATACTGATTTTAAAAAATATTTGAAAATATGCATGTTAAAAAAACATATATTGCTAATGTAAAAAGAGGTAACAGATCAGATTTAACCCATGAATCTTGTTCTACGTGATTACAGGGGCAGGAGAGCCAGAATGATCAATTTTAGTACAGAACAATGAAGTGCCCTGGTTGAGCAACTAACTGGCTTTGTTAGAAAGCAGTGACCTCTACAAGTGGGCAGCTAGAACCCGTCTGTTCTACTAAGCTGACTCAAAATTGCTGGTCCTGTGTTCACGTAGGCTATTGAATGAGTTTTCAAGTTACCACTATTTGCCTCTATTGCATGCACGCACGCACTCACGCACGCACTCATGACTCAGACGAGTATGACTATCCCAACTCTATGTCGTGTTTCTGAGACTGTTGATCTTTATGGAAGCAGTCTCGTCTTCCTCTCTTCAGAGCAGCTGACCTTGAGACTAGCAATCCATGCAGCGGACAGCAGTACAGAGCTCTTTCTTTCACCTACAGAGTTCCCCATGGCAGCACGTGAGTAATTTCAGTGTCACTTTAGCCTTTCTTTCTAAATAAGTTTTTTTCCTGACTCAAGGTATTTGTCCTTCGTGTTCACTTTGCATGCCCATACCCAGCAGTCAGTAGTTTGTAAATATTTGTTCCAGATGATTGCCTATACTGTTATAGACATCTATATAGAACCTACATTTTCTGTTTCTGTAACAGAATATATATATTCGATACATATATTCAACATGGAAAGATAGCAAAAGGAGGAGAGAAAGTGAGACATCTCTAGAGAAAGATAAATCCAAACCCAACTTTTAAGAAATTTTGCTCTCCTACTGATTTCACAGATATTTGAAAATATAAAAAAAAATCTCGAGGGAGGGGGGAGCAGGGAAGGAGGGGGAAAAATGAGGAGCTGATACCAAGGGCTCAAGTAGAAAGCAAATGTTTTGAGAATGATGA